TTCCAGAACATTTCTCCATGGTGTCGAAAAACACCGTCTTTAGCGATTACGCATTCCTTGTGATTGCCCGCTGTTGTGTGGTTTATGTGCCTCATGTTGTTCATGGTGAATGGAGGACGTTTTTGCTGAAAATTGTGGAATTATATTTTCAAAATAAAGCGCCTCTCTCCCTCAAATTGCCGCATTCCTCAATTCACGTGCTTAGACCCACCGCGGTGTGCCCAAAATAGCGGTGGTTGCCTACTGACGGAATAACACGATCTTCTGGAACGCCTTTCAGAGTACAGCGACACATTCACAGTGTGTCCTTCACAGCACCTTCCATTTCTGTGGGATTAAAGCTCATGTGTGGCATGCATGTGACAGAAACAGCGTCACGACAACTACCACATTGAATCTTATCGCTAACTGGTTTGACTTAGACCACCGGTGTGCGAGGCAAAAGGAGGGTGGATTCTATGAAACTCGGATTCACCGTTTCACTTACCCACAGTAAGCAACTAAATATGCACCAAGGGCCCTGGCCTAGAGGGTTGCCATCTGAGGTTGTAGATTAGTCCTACTCAGGAGTGAGAGTCAACCCGATAAGACCTCGTGATGTGACCCTTACTACACTCTTGGAATCTGAAATCTCCCCTGAATGAAGCCTGATACACACTGAGTTAGGAGCCAGGTCGGTAACGGTATCGCGCATATAACCCCACTCATAAAACGAAAAATAAGGACGACCATAGTGGTGGTAATGAATATTTTTTGAATGGGGATTAGAGGAAACGGTGCGCAGCCTACTCCGCGAAGCTATGGCAAAAATGCATTTACGCCATTATCTCCTTTAAGTACACCAACAGCCAGTGGAAACTCAACTGTGTAATTTAAAGAAGAAGAACTGCGGAATGGGTTCGTCGGCTTAATCGCGGACAGCTGGCAAACCGGAGGAAATGCGGAGAACAAATTCAAGGAATGGGAAACACAGTAAAAATAGAACAAAGGCGGACCATAAAAAATGCGGCATTAAAAATGCAGATTACTGAAGGGCAAAGAGGAAATTATTCACAAAACCAGAAGTCCAAGTTTGTAGTCGGCATATGAGTCGTGACGCGTGCCTTCGTGAGCTGACCATGGTCAACCACGGTTTCATTGGCATCTGTAACTGATAAGTCAACACGTAACTCCTTATACGCGAATTCATGGACCCCGAATTTTCTTAAAAACCTAACATTAGTATTAATCCTTCAATGTAACCTTAACATCGGATGTACAACCATAACTTTAAGGCTCAAGCCATCATTCTAATCCTGACCCGGGTCCTACATGTGCAATCCTAACCACAATCCTCGCCTTCAAACCCTCAACTCAAACCTAATTAACCTTAACCGCCATTAATTTCCTTACACTTTTGTTAACTTTTATGAATCATACCTGCTCAAATAAAATTTGTAGACAAACTTTGCCACTACGCCTAGGTGGGGCTCCATACAATATTGTCGCCGCCAGGTTATACGTAATAAGTGTTAAAGGTCTGCTCATCTTTGCCAACCACTGCACCCATTCCTGTCTCCGGTCTTCTTTTCCTGTCACCGAAAGGTGGTGAGTATGCAACGAGTCAGGCGGGCGGACACAGTGAAAGCTTATTTCACTAAATGTATTCACACCCAAGTCACTGCGTCCATCTCGAGGAGCAGCGTTGAATCTGTCGGTTGTTGTATTCAAAGCATTATTGTTGGTTGCACAATCTAGGCGCTAATTGGTCCTAGGGTTGACCTAGGACTAGCAGAAGGGTCAATCCTGTACCTTTATTTTTCTTGTTTGCTTTTGTTTTTCTTCAAAAGATCCTCGTTCAGCGGATCAAGGGTCAGGTGCTGACTTTATCACTACAAATGTACGGCTGTCGCGTGATCCAGAAGGCAATCGAGTCGGTTCCCCTGGACATGCAACTGGGCATCGTACAGGAGCTTGATGGCTGTGTCTTGAAATGTGTGAAGGATCAGAATGGCAACCACGTCGTGCAAAAATGCATCGAATGTGTTCCACCCGAGCACCTACAATTTATCGTGGACGCTTTCAAGGGCAACGTGAGTCTTTGTCAGGCCTTTCTGAAAAGAATTCTTTGCTTTCTCTTATTGGGTACCTTTACTCTCCTTGGTTTAAACGCGAGAATTGTTCAAGTGCTTTTTATCAATGCAGTCATTTATGTCATTCTGATAGACTTGTAAACCCTACCCAAGACCCCTTTTATTTCCTCAAGTACGAGTCAAAGGGCCCAATTGTTATCAAGGAACTGTTGAGCCCTTCGGTCCTCCCGAATTTCAATTTAACCTAATCCAGAAGACATGAAACTTATTTTGAACGACCTGATATGTTTGCGGATAGCAGGGGAATTGTTGCGTCAGAGTTAGCTTCCACAGTAAAGTTTTGTTTAAATGGCTTGGTTGTGTGGGAATTTTCCACGTATGCTAACCTAGTCGTAGTCGTCCTTCACTGCCCTTTCACGGCGGAAGATTGATGCAAACATAAACACACCGCCGACAGTCCTAATGCACGACCGCATTGGCTGAGATGCGTTAATACCAACCAGCACAGCTTGCAGGGTAGGGCTTCGTGAAGGTCAATTTTGAGGACAAGCCTGCTACTCACGTGCATATGAGGCCAAGAAATCGTCATTTTCACCTGGAAGTCACTGAATTGTATTTCGTCGAACCGCCGGTCCAGACCGGCTGGTCTGCCAAGCAGCCAATGTTACTTCCCCCACACGAGTTCCTTTCAAAAGTTATGCCACTGGGACGTTTTTTGCGTTATAACGCAGTATACGAAGGCTCAAAGCAGTCGCTTGAAGAGATTTTATTTCCGGCATTAACGTGCGTGTGCTAATCGAGCTTAACATAAGTTGGTAGTTTAAGTAATCATCGTGAGACTCCAGTTAGCCAGTGGTCCGACTAGACTGTTACCAGCAGGGGCCATGGTCTCCTGTCCGATGACAATAAGAAAATAGCTGCTAGACAGTTGAAGGATCAAATGACATTGGGTGAGTTTGTGTATGAGTCCACTCTGCGTGCGGACGCTTCTAACTTTACCATGCGGCTCTTGTTTTGCCCTCTTCGGCAATTCTGCCATACGCGTTTTCTGAGAGTTGGACGCGCTTAGATTGCCGTTCGTCTGTCGTAGAAAAGCTTGATTAGTCCTGGTCAACGGACTCCGTGTGTGTCTGTCCGACACCTTGCCAAATATTACTATACTTTACTGCTCTTAATATTACCATTCGCTACCATTACATACTGATCGACCATTCACTGATAAGTCAGCATAAATTGTCAATCTAATGCAGCTAAAACCCCAAGTTAACCATTGTATGTGTAACGTATACAGTAAATAACTAAATAAGTTATGTTATATGTTTTAGCACTAAAATTGCTCCAAATGTAATCAGCAAGTCAAAAAAGCTAGGCTTACCATCTGTTCTTACTTCCATAAAGAAATATCTCCATTTTGGACTGATTGTTTTAGTTTCTTCTTGTTGCTCTTCTCTAGTGATATTTGTTAGACCTAAACTGGCGCTCGGGGTGGGTCACTTGGACTCCGTCTTGCCGAAGAAAGGTTTCCAACTTTTATCCATTGGCGAGCCTAACTTCCTAATTATTGAAAGGTTGTTGGAAAGCTGTTGGTTTGAAGTATCCTCTCACCGTACCAATCTAATCATTACCCCGTAACAGAATCCAACCGTTCACCCTGACCATTGTTACGGTAGGATGTCATAATTAAAGTGGCATGACCATTTTTGGTTTGGTCTTGTCCTTTATGATGCCTCATATCACCCATAGCTTTATTTCATGACTCCGGTCGCTAGTGAAAGCGGAAGCAACTTCCTCCCATAGTGGCAGGAATAGAAATCGTCAAGTTTCATCTGTGCGAACGGCACAGGAAACAGATGCTACCTTTATCGTTGATTGGCGGCATTTTGGGTTGTAGTGTCTTACCGGAGTTAATGGAAAATCCGCATGTGCGCATTCCCTGTTCTGGGTGCCTTGCGTGCTGTGGTGTGTTTATGACCTCAGCTAACAAACTTTCTATGTCTCACCTTGATTTGTTACTGTCACATCTTTAGGTTCATTCAATTTCCACCCACTCTTACGGCTGTCGTGTCATCCAACGTATCCTGGAGCACTGCAACGCGGAGCAGACCACTCCCATTCTCGCCGAATTACATCAGTGTGCAGAGTCGTTGGTCAAGGATCAGTATGGAAACTATGTTATCCAGGTATTTAGTTCCAGTTGATCCTATCTCATATTCTCCTAAAATTGCTGTTACCCGTGTTCTTGCGCACGTCATTTTTTGTATAAGATGAAGTATGTAAAATGGCTACCAGTACACATTATTTTGGTAGGTAGATCATACTCGACTCTCTAAATGTGTGCAGTGTATGCAAGTTTATCTTATATTACTTTTCTACCAGTCCTATTATATTAACAGCCCCCCGTTTCCGCTAGGTTATTTTCACTTTCAGCTCAAATTTCTTAAGACTATCACTTCACCGAAGTCCGAAGTTAGGCGGAATGTATACAATAGGGACGAGGGCAATCCATAGACAAGTCCTCTAGCACCATTTACCGTAAGACTTTTGAACATTTATGAAAGGCTAGACTGCTTTCTCGTGCAGCCCTTTCCGACACCCTAGGATTGCTATACTCATTTGTTGCCCTAGTGATGGCTACACCCATATTTAAATTGCCCATTTACCTGCCCGAACACGAAAGGCTAGCCGGGCAAGTGGTTTTACCCGTTAACCCGCCGGCGGACTGTTTGACGCATCCATCGGAATTAAGAGCTCTCAGTTCGAAAAGGTGAACAGCTCAAGTACCTCAAAAAAGGTGCAGCCGTCGTTGTCGATGATGTTCACAGTGTCTCGCAGCTAGGTACGTGCATGAACAGTGACTTATGCCTGAATTAGCAGACTTGCGCAGAATCTCCTGCGCACTCTCCTTGGCTCGGTGTCAAGACAGAGTCAAGAAAACCGGAGGTGACTGGCGAGACGTGAACACGCACTAAGGTTAACCACCAAATTCTTTGGTTTACGCACAAAAATAGGGATTTTACACAACAAGAAAGGTGGTGGAGGAGGGCTCGGATCTCAACCACTGCACGCGGTTTGTGCAAACACTAGTGCGTTGAACTCCGGGGGCGGCCAATCATAGGCTGCCAGCGCTGGCTCACCTGTGAGATGCTTGGATATTCGCACCCATCCCGTCATTATTCACAGGTTCGTGTGTAGACGTTCAGCTGGCCGTGCGTCAAGAGCCCAGATCGCCATCAGTCTTCTGCACGAAGGCCTCCTAATTTCCCTTTCCCACATGGAAGTGGGCCTTTAGACTGCGCTGGTTATGATAAATGTTCATTATCTTGACCGTCCAAGGTCAACTAAAACAACTGGGATCGCCCTATGTGTGTTTAGTGCTCTGTAATATTATTTTAATGCCTTCTTAAGGTCTTCAAGTGTGCCTTATCCCCCCATATTCCCCGTTAGGTAGACCTTTGAAGATCCAAACTTTCTTTCAAACTCTTTATTGTTGCGTTTTTTCACAAAATTTTTTCAAACCACCGAACCCCTCTGGTATATGTTCCATGGTCTCTTCGTCTCGGCGTCATACGTTCACAACTATGCACTGAGACCGAGATGGATAATTTGCAGTGCGTGTGTGTTCACTCTTTTGTCGTCTTTCTTCGTGTGTCTTCACCTCCTCGCAGAATATTGTGTTTAATTCAATCTACGGATTTTTGAAATGAGTCATGGGGTGCTTACTCGACCGTAATTGATCTTAGTAAAAAAATCACAGCCTCTCTTCTGTGCGCTACCATCTTGCTTGTTTTATAGTTGTAGCAATTAGAAACCGTTTCGTCAATGGTAGTGCTTCTTTATTTACGTTCGCTGTTAGAATACGGTCTCGCACAATTCCGTTTTTTTGCGTCAGTAATTTTCCACGCTTTGCCGATGAACCCCTACGTTTCCTAAAAGTTCCTCTGCAATCGATAAGACTCCCACTTATCGGCTTTCTCCCCTGTACGACTTCACATTCGGCATGCTCTACTTATCAGTTTGCAACCAGTTTTCTATCGGGCGGGGTGACCTATTTCCGTTATCGCATTTCCACCGTTGACGGGCCATCCTCCCCTTCCACTCCAATCAGGGGTCAAGGAATTAGTCAACAGGCACAGCATAGCGAACACTGGTTCGGCGAAACATGCATCCACCGTCTTCGACATTGCAGATACGATCAGATCCGTCTGTGTGCACCATCAGCCTTCGGTACAGGCAGGAGTCGTAGCTTTTAGGTCTTACCCCCTAGGTGGGCATTCTGTTGTGGAGCAGAACGGCTAACGAAAACAACCCGAAGTCTTGTCGACCCTTGAATCGAGAAAAAAACGTATCTTGTTGGGACTGCCGCTATTCCAATGATGAGTCAACACACACAAAGGCTTCGCGAGTGCCTCGCTGCGGCCAGTCTTGTCTGCTCAATTCTGATTGGCTCGAACTATGTCTGTCTCGCGCCCCCTTAAATCTATTCAGCCTTTGTATGAGAAGGACTTGCGCAAACGTGCTTTGACGCATACACGCTGTCTAGTGCTC